AGTCCCCGTTCCCCCCCGACCCCGCTGTCCCGTGCCGAGGCCTGCGGCTTTAAGAAGCCGTCGCTGGCGGCCGCGGCGCAGAGGAAGAAGGCGAATTTCAAGCTGGAGCTGCCGGAGGAGCAGCAGCGGGAGATCCGCGACGCCTTCGAGCTCTTCGACACCGACGGCAGCGGCAGCATCGATGTCAAGGAGCTGAAGGTCGGGGTTTCCCTGGGGCTGGAGGTCATTGAGGTTATAAGGGAACAGGGCCATAAATGCTGAAATAACCTCAAAAAGCACAGGAGTTTCCTGGGTTTCCCCCTCCTCCCTCCAGCACAACACCTGGTGGGCAAAAGGTTTTCTCTTTAATTGCAGCTCTTTTCTGCTCTTATGCAGTGTGTTTAGGGCTAGGCTGCTCAAAATTCATGTATAATTCTGTGCTTTGTGTCTCAACTCCTTCTCTGTGCATAAAACATCAAAGAAAGGTTTGTGCCCATTAAAAAAGGGGTGGTGGAGGGAGTTCCCCTCTTGTTGAGAATTTTATGCTTTGTTATTATTTATTGTTATTGTTGTTGTTGCTATTATCTGGCCCTTTATCAAAGGAATAAAATGTTTTCCCAACAAGATTTTTATCACCAGAATGAAAAATAAACTTATTTAAATTCCTTGTGGTTGATCAGTTAAAGATGGTGAGAGTGTGTGTAGGAAATTCCTGGATTAGCTGAGGCACAATTCCAGAACAGGAATGTTTCTATCTCTGTTTTCTGCATCCTGATGTGAGTGCAGAGCAGCCTCACTCTCAGCCTGCCCCTGGGAGAATTTTGGACACCTTTCCCCCCTCTCCTGTGGTTTTGGTGACAGTTTTGTAGGTTTTGTAACTTATTTTGTCCTTCCAGGTGGCCATGAGGGCCCTGGGGTTTGAACCTAAGAAAGAAGAGATCAAGAAAATTATCTCAGACATCGATAAGGAAGGGACAGGAAAAATCAGCTTCAGTGACTTCCTGGCAGTGATGTCACAGAGAATGGTATGGATGTTTCACAGCTCCAAACAAAGGGAATTTTGAAGGTGGATCAGGAACCTTTATCTCCTTTTGGGTTTACAGGGAGATTGAAGCTCTATATTTTAATATTTATTCTAAAATATTTTATATTTTAACCTTAACAAATGTATAAAAGTTGGGGTAATCCCCATCCTGGATTCTCTCATTTTTCTGGGAAAAATTAAAATCCTGATATCATTAGCAGGTTTCTTTAACAAGCAGAGGTGAATTTTGTGTTGAAAAACGGGAAAACAAGTTTTTCTCACAGAGGGAAACCAGCTCAGGCCTGCAGGAGGCTTTTGGAGGGTTGATGTCTGGCATGGGGGTGTTCTCTTTCCTTGAATTCTAATTTACAGATTAAATCTCTGGTTTGAAAAATCTTCTCAAAATCCAGATATTTTATAGCAGGGGACCCTGATAGTGAAATCCTGAAGATATCTGGCTGGCAAGGACAGAAAAAAGATCCCTGAAATTCTGGAATTCTGGTTGTGTCTCTGAATTTTATGTGTAATCCCTGCTGGTTGAGCTCCTTTATTTGTCCCCAAGGGTTTCTCAGTCTATCACATCTTTTATAACTTTGAGTGTCACCTACAACACAAGCACTCCTGTTTTACCTTAAACTTGTTCTTTCTTCCTTAAGGCTGAAAAAGATTCCAAAGAGGAGATCCTCAAAGCTTTCAAACTCTTTGATGATGATGAGACTGGAAAAATCTCTTTCCAAAACCTCAAACGTGTGGCCAAAGTGCTGGGGGAGAACCTCACTGATGAAGAGCTGCAGGTTTGGACCTGGTGCTTTTGGGGTCTTTGTGCTGGAGCTGCGAGGAAAATCCAGCACTGGTGGGAAGGGAGGAATTCCTGGAATCTGTGGGGTTTGAGCTTGAGGATGGGTTGAGCCCACATGGATGTAGGACTGGGATCATCCATTGCAGCTCTGTGCAGTAGCAGAGATGTGAAAGGACTCACTCTGCTCCAGGCACTTGGTTTCCCCCAGGACTTTCCCTATAATCTTTCCTGCTCAGATTTCTCTATAAATACCCCCAGCAAAACAGATTTCAGGAAATATTTTGTCTGAGCTTGAGCCAACACTGTCCCCTCCAGCACAGCTAAAGAGGGGCTGGAATTCTGCATGAATGAATGCAGTGATTCCCAGGAAAGCCCAGAGCTGAGGGCTGACCCCAGATCTCTTGCAGGAGATGATTGATGAGGCAGATCGGGATGGGGACGGGCAAGTGAGCGAGCAGGAGTTCCTGAGGATCATGAAGAAGACTGGCCTGTACTGAACCCAGTGGGATTTGTGTACATTCCTTAGGGAATGGGAGCCTCATTTTGTGGTGTCTTGATTTCTTTGGAGGCAGCAGAAAATACAGGTCAGTTCTGTGGGAAGTTTTTTGTGTAAAAAAATTTTAATTTTAAAGGTGTTTGGGACCAGTTTGCACCGCTCTGTTTACAAGCAGCAACGTGGTTGCTGGTTATGATGTTTACACTGCTTTGAATACACAAATCACATTTTTGGGACCAAATTTAGATCCTTTTCTGACTAAAAAAAAGGGTCCAAACAATTCAGTTTGGTAAAGAGATGACTCAGAATCAGTGTCAATCTATTGCTCAGTGTAAATCCATTTTATGTCTTGGTTTGGGCCTTACAGTGAACTCTTTTCATGACATATTTGCAGGAACCATCTTTTTAGAACCTGTTTTATGGGATTATCCCTTCCCCCTTTTCTAGGGCATTTATTAAACTCAAAATAAAAATAAACTGCTGCAATTTACCTTGTGTTCAGTTCACATGGCTAAGGAAATCTTTGCAGAAGGAAATTCCCAGTGCTGCTGCTGAGGGCTCTGTGCTTGCAGGAATGCTCAGAGGCTGCAGATGGGATTGGATTTCAAATAAAATCTTATTTTTAAGCCATCAGAGTTGTGGAAAGAGTTTTGATCCCCACTTTGCCAAAAAAAGACATGGCCAGGCTGGAGAGGATCCAGAGGCCACAGAGATGATCCAAAGCCTGGGAAGTTCCCATGTGAGGAAAGGCTGAGAGAGCTGAGCCTTGGAAAAACTGGGGTTTAGGGGAGATCTTGTCACCATGATTGGTATGTGAAGGGTGGCTACAAAGGAGAAGGAAACTCCCTTTTTATGAGGAAACATGGAAAGGACAAGGGATAATCTGTACAGGACACTCCTGAGGAGATTCTGAATGGGCACCATGGGGCAATTTTTCACCATGAGAAAATCAGCTGTTGGAAGTGGTGGATTCCCTGAGTTTGGGCACTTTGGGGTCCATCAGGACAGGCTGCTGGACACCTTCTCTAAACAGCATTTTTATCAAGAAAGGCTGGACCAGGTGAGCCTTGAGACCCTTCCAACCTGGAATTCTCTGCTCCTGTTGATGCAGGAGAAGAATTTCACCTTTTCCCACCAGAGCTGGCTGTGACATGGGCTGGTCCTGCTCTCACCAGTGTCTCATTCCTGCTCCAGTCTGGCTTCTCACAAATCCCAGCAAAACATGGGAAGGGGGCTGGTGCTGGGGATTTCTTCCTGTATCATCTTCCCAACTGACCCAGAGGGAGAGGCAGACACAGAAGCAGAGTTCAGAATTCAGTAGAAGCATCAGGTTTTATTTGGTAGCAGAGCTGGTTCCTTCCTTTGGCCACAATTCACTGCCTGAGGGAGGGGTTGGGGAGCAGCTGACCCTGAGCCCTGGGGGAGCCTGTGGCAGGGAGAGGTGGGATTTTGGGATGGAATTCCTCCCTGGGCCCAGAGAAGCTGTGGCTGCCCCTGGATCCCTGGAAGTGTCCAAGGCCAGATGGAGCAGCCTGGGCCAGTGGAAGGGGTCCCTGCCCATGGGAGGAGCCTGGCACAGGATGAGCTTTGAGGTCCCTCCCATGCCACGATCCCACGGCAGCTCCATCCCAGCTCCTGCCAGGGAGCGACGTGTCCTTGGCAGAGCACGCCACCTCCAGGATTGTCCCTCCTCAGCAGCCACCAGAGCTCTGGGGCAGAGCCAGAGTGTCCCTTTAGCTGTTGCTGTGACAGGGAGGGACAGGCTCCGCGGGGCGGGGCTGGGTGCCTGCGGCAGCTCAGGCCAGCCGCAGCACCTCCCTCACCATGCTGCCGATGCCGTCGTGCACCTGGTGGATGGGGGCGTTGCACATGAAGGCGCTGGTGCTCACCAGGAGGTTCCTGGCGTCCACGTGGGCCTCGGTGACCTGGCTGTTGACGTGTCTGCAGCCCAGCTCCTTCATGGCCTCGGCAGTCTTGGCATAAGGCCACCTGCGGGGGAACGGGGAAGGAAAACATGGAGTGGGGTGTAGGCGCATTGGGGGTAGCACGGTCGGGACGGATGGAGACGAGAGATCTCTGCAGCCAGGGCTGGAACTTGGAGTTTATTGCAAAGGGCCTGGGGGCAGGGCCCTGCTGGGAGCTGCCAAACACAGCTCAGAGCAGCGAAGAGAGAAGAGAGGGTGAGAGAGTAAGGGAGGCAAGAGAGTGAGGTTCCCATTCCAATACCATAAATCTTCTTCTGTGTTGAATATTCTAATTCTCACTAACCAATCTAGTCCAAGATACAAATCCTATAGGATTTCCATACAGCCTATAAGAATCACTACATCACCACACTGTGTTACATTTTAAACCCTAAAACTCCTCTTTGTGCCCCTTCTGCCAAGCTGGCAGGGTCTGCTCTGAGCCTTGGGCCTGTCTGCAAGCAGAGGGTGTTGTTCCATCAAAAGGGGATTGCCCTCAGCTGGCCATGCCATTGTTTTCCAGTTGTTCAGGAACTGAGGGATCTCAAAGCTTGCCTTCATTTCAATCTCACTTATAGTTTCTATATTCTCAAAATCTTTTGCCAGACAATCATATTTATAAGGCTTTCCTGTTTCATCTTCCCCAGCAGTGGAGAATCTCCTTTATTGTAAATCAAAAGCTACTCCAATGAAGGGGAGAGAGAATGATGCATCTGACCTCATCATCAGAAGGCTAATGAATTAATTTATTATACTATACTATATACATTTCATCTGAATTGAATCTGCCCTGCACTCACTCTTGCTCACAACTGCTCACACTGCACTCATCTCTGATTCTCCTGTCACAGTCCCCCCCACACACACCTGGCCCTGCTAGGCCAAAGAACCAAACATCCTCACTTTGGGTAAACAATCTCTACATTGCATTCTGCTTTACCACAACACAGGCACAGCAAGCGAGATAAGAATTGTGTTTTCCTTCTTCTCTGCTTGTCTCACAGCTCCTCTCTGTTCAGGGGGCACGTCAAGACCACACTCCTTCACTCTGTGCCTGGGGAAGGGCCAGAGGAAAGATTCTGTGGTCACTGCACAAAACCTCAGCAGGATCCAAATCTCCTGCTTGAGGAGTTTCTCCAGGACTATACAACAGGAAAACCTCCTGTTCAAATGAGTTAAACATCTGAAGTAAGGCCAAAATGAGACCTGAAGCTCCACTTTGGATGTTCCACTACCTAATTCTGCACACTCCGGTGCTCATGTTAATAGGAGCCTGGGAAGATTTGGGTGAAAAGGGACCTCAAAGTCCACCCAGTGCCACCCCTGCCATGCCCAGGAACACCTCCCACTGTCCCAGGCTGCTCCAAGCCCTGTCCAGCCTGGCCTTGGGCACTGCCAGGGGTGGAGCAGCCACAGCTTCCCTGGGCAGCAATTAGATTTAGGTTCAGGTTGGGTCTTTTTCCACCAGCTTCCTCCAAGTTAGTGAAAAAACTCCTTCCTAGCAAAAGCCATCAACATTCCTTGCCTGCCCTTGGGAGAATCCAGTCACAGCTTCCCTGTGGGACTGAAGACACTCCCTCCTTCTCTTCCCACCCCAAGCCTTGGGTAACCATCCTGTTCCTGCCTTGGATGTGCTCACCTTGGAGTCAGCAAAGGCTTTTCCTACCCTGGGTCTGTGAGACATCATAATTAATTTACAATAATAAATTACATTTAAATTAATTTAAAATAAAGTGTCTTATTTAAAGCTATCAGAGTTGTGGAAACAAGTCACAAAAATGCAAACAGATCAGGTGTTACATCATTCCTTCTGCTGTGCTGAGAAATGATAAAATCAGTCTTCCAGAGTTTCTACTTTTCCCTGTTCAGTCCCCAAAAGGGCTGGAGGTGCTGAGGACCTCACTGGAGGCAGCAGAGCTGAGTTCTCAGCAATAGCATTCAGCTCCTTGGGAGCTTCCACTCCCTGGCCAGGATCCCTGGGGACTTTGGGGGGACCCTGGTGTGAGTGTCCCCAGCCCCCCCGGTCACTCACTGCTCACACTCCGTGTCGTGGCCCACGGTGACCTCACAGCCCGGGAAGATTTTGGCTGCCAGCACGGGGGAGATGCAGCACAGCCCGATGGGTTTGTGGGCAGCATGGAATGCCCTCAGCACAGCCTCCACCTCTTTGGAGACGCTGCAGTTCTTGCCCTGCGTGGCCCAAGTGCTCAGGTTTTTTGCCACCCCGAAGCCACCTGAGGGAAGAGAAGCAGTTTAGCTGGAGATTATATCCAGGGCAGGATTTTTGCCAGGTGTGGCACGGTGGAATGCTCAGGTGGATGGGATGGTTGGCAGCATTTGTCCAGTGTCACAGACATCTTTTATGAAAAATCCTTTCCTTAGGATTTTTTTCTCCTGAGAAGCTGAGAGGCCTCAGGAGCAAAATGTCACCAATGGTTATCTGCTGCTGTGGGATGGAACAGGCCAACTGTGACCGTGTTCACAGGGGCCTGAGTATGAGGGGAGAGACGAAGATCTGACTCCGTGTTTCAGAAGGCTTGATTTATTATTTTATAATATATATTATATTAAAACTATAGTAAAAGAATAGAAGAAAGGATTTCATCTGAAGGCTGGCTAAGAATAGAAGAAGAAAGAACAATAACAAAAGCTTGTGTCTGGGACAGAGAGTCCGAGCCAGCTGTGATTGGCCATTAATTAGAAACAACCACATGAGACCAATCCCAGATGCACCTGTTGCATTCCACAGCAGCAGATAACCATTGTTTACATTTTGTTCCTGAGGTCTCCCAGCTTCTCAGGAGAAAAAATCCTAAGGAAAGGATTTTTCATAAAAGATGTCTGTGACAGTCCAAAATCAAGACAAGAACTGAAATTGGCTCTCCTTCCAAGCCCTGCTCCAGCCTGTCCCTCTCCATCCCACAACTCCCACACCCTTCCAGACCTGTGGGATGTCCAAGCTGTGGCAGGCAGACCCCACACAGCCCTACCTGGGATGATGAGGGCGTCCAGCCCCTTGACATCCAGCGTGGCCAGGTCCTTGATGTTGCCTCTGGCTATCCTGGCGCTTTCCACCAGGACATTGCGCTGCTCCGCCGTGGGCTGCCCCTTCACGTGGTCCACCACGTGCATCTGGGGGGTGTTGGGAGCATAAACCTCAGCCTGGAGTGAGGGGAGAGGGCTGTTATCCTTCAGCAGTGATGGAGAAATGTGGAAAGGCACAGGCAGTGAGTGGGAATGCTGAGGGGCTTTCTTGGGAAAGAGCTGGCGTGGAGGAAGGACGGAAGGGAGGAAGAAAACTTTCAGTATTTAAGAACTGCTTATCTGGGGGGCTGAAGTGTCCATCCATATCCCAATAAATCCCTCTTGCAGGGTGACCACCCAGAGAGCTGCTGTCCCACCCCATCTCCTACAGGACTTGGAGTTTCCTCTCCCTACCAACTTTGCCAAAGCCAGAGTGTTTTTCTGGAAAATCCTTTCCCTTCCTCTAGCACTTCAAGGTCATATGCAGAAATTAAGAGTGGAGGGTGGTGAACAGATTTTGGGACTGGCCCATCTGTGCAGCTCTGGGCCCCAAAATTTAAGCAGGATTTAAGGAACACCAAGGTGTCCCGAGGAGGGCAGGGCTGGAAGGAATATCCTGCGAGGAGCAGCCGAGGACTTTGTCATTATCTAGGTGGGAGACAAAGAAGCTGAGAGGCAACCTCATGGCAGCTTCCCGTGGAGAGGGAGGCGCTGAGCTCTGCTCCCTTGCAGCTGAAATATTCCATTCTACGCCGACCTTAGAAAAGGAGGGATTGAAATGACGCCCGAGTTTCCTCCACTAGAGGCCCCTGGCGATCCAGGGATGAGCGAGGGACGGGCTCCGAGCCTGCTGGGCTGGGAGATGGCAGGAGGGAAGCACTGCAGCAGCTCCAGGAGAGGAACAGGCAAAATTGCACACGTCTAGCCAAGTCTCATCCTGGAGCCAACAGCGAGGGCAGGGTTGGAATAATCTGGGATTGGGGGGCCTGGCACGGGAAGGTCACCCCTGTGCCTCTGTGTTCCACACAGCAATTCCCATTCTCGGGGGGACAGCTCCGACCAGCCCCGTGGGTGGTTCACAGCTGAGTGAGATGTCCCAGAGGCTTTCCCTCCCTCCTTCCCCAGTCTCACGGAGCGGCTCTCCCGACTTTTAGAGCAGCTGCACCTCTTTTACCACTCAGGTTTAACTCACGAACGAACCCCTGCCTGTTCTGTCATCCCTGGAAGTGTCCCAGGCCAGGCTGGACGGGCTTTTGAGCAGCCTGGGACAGTGGAAGGTGTCCTGCCCATGGCAGGGGATGGGAATGGATGAGCTTCCTTCCCAACCCAAACCATTCTGGGATTCTCTGATTCTGTTTTCACTCCCACTCTTTGAATGTTTTAAAAAGATGAATTTCAAACAGCCCAAACTGTCTTTTAAACAGAAATAGCAGGAGAGAAAGAGGATGTGAAGCCAGAAGCGAAGAGAGAAGGCATTCAGGAAAATCTGAATGCGGGATTTGGAAAATCTGAATTGGGGATTTGGATGCAGAGCTCCACACCAATCCCTGTGTACAGCACAGCTGCGCAGGGAGCTCTCCACACTCGCAGTGACTCCAGGCACCGCTGTTTGGCTCTTGGGGAGTTTGTCTCAGAGAAAAGGAGGGAAGAGGATGAGGAGCAGAGCCGGGACAAGGAGCCCGGGCAGCACCGTGCCGGTGCCTCTTACCTGAGCCCCCTCCCGGCTGAGATGCACCAGCACCGCGGACGCCTCGTGGATCTCGCTGCCGTCGAACACGCCGCAGCCCGCCAGCAGCACGGCCACCCGCTTGGCCATGGTCCCCGGCAGCAGCGGAGTGCCCGGAGAGCCCCTGTGGCCGCTGTGAGCTCTGCTCGCTGCCCCAGCCCTTTATAGCCACAGAGCAGGTGGGGCCCCGAGGGCTGGGCTCCGTTTCTTACTGGCAGGGAGGTTTTATTTCCAGTTCCACAGGCAGGGCATATAAATATTATTTGTTTCCTCAACTGGCTGCTGCCTTACAGATCTTCCTCCCAGCACGTTGTCTGCAGAGCAGCCCCAGCTGACATGCCCTGCTCAACAGAGCAGCTGTGTTTTTCCTCCTCGGCTGTTGATTTTCCATTCCAGTTCAGAGTGAAGCACCAAAACCTTTGCACAGGAGATGGTATCAAAGGGAGCCAGGATTTCAGCCAGTGCATCCCCCTCTCTGACCCATTCTTTGAACCCTGCACTGCATAGGCTGCTCCAGACTTTTAACACCAATATTTCCTTTTTGGATCCTGAATGTTCCTTCCCTCAGATCCCATCTCTCAGAAGTGGATATTTTACACTTTGCTGCAGTTGTTTGCTGGCTTTTGCACTCTGAGTTTAGAAAAGTTGGAAAGGAACTCACAATGTCCAACTCCTGGCCCTGCACAGGCACCCCAACATCTCACCCTGTGCCTGAGAGCATTGTCCAAGCACTTCTTCATCTCTGGAATAAGGGGATTCTTCATCAACAGCACCATCTCTCCATTTATTTCATTCCAGGGAGGTGGCACTGGGAATTGTTGGAGCCCTGAGATCTGGAGGGGCCCCTAGAACCAGATTCAGTGTCTGGAGCTCTTTCCTGCCACTCTGGCTCTGCTCTCATGGAGATGATCCTGTACCTCTCTATTTCAGCCTGGCCCTGGTGAAATAACTGTGCCCTGTGGAGGCTGAGAGAACAAAAACCTCCCAGAACATGGCTGCAGGGTGTTTCTCAGGGGTTATTTATAAGACATGTTCCTTGGGGCTCTGTCATTTCTGGGAGAGACATGAAGCACATCCTGTGGGTAATGAACTCGTGGCTTGGCAAGGTGTTCAGTCAGGGCAGGCCTGAGGAGGAGGCTCACTGCTGCTGCTTGGGACTGCATTTATGGCATGTTTCTCCCAAAATGAGGCGTTTCAGGCACCCAGCTGCTACCTGAACAAGCAGGAACAAGAAATGTGTGACAGAGGCCTTGCAGTCCCACTAACCCAACCCAGACTGTGCCTCTCAGTTACTTTTATTGCCCAGGGCAGGAATTAAATTGAGATATGCATAAAAAACACCCAAAGCCTTTCCCCTGTTTTTGTTTTGCTATCTAAGGAATCCTAACTATGGTTTAG